CTCTGGTGGTGGAGGTAGTCTGCCCTGCAGTCTCCTGGTCGAGACTGGACTCCTGCAGATTCCTTCCCAATGTCTCGATGGGCAGGAGCCAAGATGCAACGCCAGCCAGCAGAGAGCAGCTGCAATACACCGACAGAGTCAAATACACAGACGTCCTGAGCAACACCTAGAACCAAAACACAAAAAGTGAGGAGGCCAAACAGAGAAAAACACACCTCTTAAATAATAAAGAGCCTAACTGGACTAATTTAAATCTACCACAAGTCACAATATTGTCAAACTATCATATAGTTTATGACATTCTTTAAATAATCATTGACAACAATGTTGGTTTTTGAACTCTAGTAAAACCATGGAGAAAATTCCAAAACTTGGGTGTGTCGAAATGACACAGATGCAGATTCACAAACATGTAAGCAATGCATTACGTAATCCCACCTCACACAGTTTCACTGATTATTTTTCTTGGATACTTGTTTTTAGCCCTCAGTGATATAGACACTGTCTTTTGGTGAGTAACAGTAAGAGCAGACATTTCAATTCACAGTTTAATTTAAGAGGCCTATTGTAATGCTTTTAATATCCAATATGAGGTATGGAAATTATCGCTGCCATGCTGGATGCCAAATAATATTATTCAGCCGAGTTGAAAACGGGTCACACTGATTCAAAATTTAGAATAACCGGACATACACTTGCTTGTACTGGGTTTGACCTCCTTTTGCTTTAACATTCTTCAGAGATTTTGGCACGTGCATGACGCAGTTGCTGCAGATTTGGCAGCATCTACATCCATAATGTGAATCTCACATCCAAAAGGTGCTGAGGTCATTTGAGTACATTGCACTCAATGTCATGTTTAAGGAGCCAGTTTGAGATGATGAGCTTTGTAACATGGTGGTGACATTATCCAGCTGGAAGGAGCTATCAGAAGACGGCAGTGTGGTCATAAAGGGATGGAAATGGTCAGTTGTAACAAATGGTTTGTTCTGCTTGTTAAACAAGAACACCCATTTGCATCAACCTCGTCCATAGCTATTACACACTTAATCAAACAAACCACAACACAAGAAGATAAAACAAGTAGGTTCCTCTTATACAGACAGCACCAACAACTATGCCACGGTCAAGTCACTTAAATCATGTTTCTTCTCCATTGTGATGCTTGGTTTGAACTTTAACAGGCCATCTGGACCATGTCTACATGCCTACATGTCACATGATTAGCTGATTAGACATTTATGCCAATAAATAGCTGAATAGGTTTACTTAACAACATGGCCATTGTATGTATGCATTGTACTATTGCTGTTACATGTAATAGAGAACCTAACATCTTA